CGCCGCGTCTCTCTCTTTGCTTCTAGGGGGTGGGGGGGGGGGGGGAAGAGAAGAGGTTTGCATTAGGTTCCTCCACCCCCCCCCGCCTTTTTGGCACAAGAAACTTGGAAGAGACACAACGTGTTATATATTATATAAAATAATAAGATATTGAAGATACAACCCTCTTTGTGTGTGTGTGTGTGTGTGCTCGCATTCTCTCCTCCATATATAAATTGGTGGAAGGGAGAAAGGGAGGGCTGGATGGACCTTGCCGGAAAAGAGGTTTTTCTGCCCGGTTTGGCGCAAAAAAAAGGAACTCGGCGCGGGATGTGGGAGAGGGGGCACCTCGGTAGGAGGTCGTGAGAACCGGGACTGGCGAGGACCCGACGCCGGACCGTGTGTGTGTGTGTGTGTGTGAGAGTCCATATATAAATTGGTGGAAGGGAGAAAGGGAGGGCTGGATGGACCTTGCCGGAAAAGAGGTTTTTCTGCCCGGTTTGGCGCAAAAAAAAGGAACTCGGCGCGGGATGTGGGAGAGGGGGCACCTCGGTAGGAGGTCGTGAGAACCGGGACTGGCGAGGACCCGACGCCGGACCGTGTGTGTGTGTGTGTGTGTGAGAGAGAGTGTGTCGTGTCTGCAGACAAGAGATCAACGCGGGTGCGTGGCCCGGGCCGGGCGGGCTCGCTTTTCCGCCTGCCCTTCAGCAACCGTCGAAACGGAAAGGCGTGCATTTGGGAAGCCTGCAGAACGGACTCCCCACTACCACCACCACCTTTGCAGTGGACCCGGGTTGTGTGAATGCGGTTTGCTCCCGTGTGCGTGCGCGGAGGCGTTTGGAGCCACCTGGACCCGATCTGGCCCGGGGATGCGGTTGCACCGGCGGGAGCCTTTCGCCTGCTCGGGTCTCCCTCCCGGTTGCGGTGCCATGCGCGCTCTCCCGCTCGCTCGCTCTCCGCGGGCTCCTTCTCGTCGGTCTTCTTCGGGTGTCCTCCTGCGTTAGCGCGAAGTGGCGCGGGGTGGGGGGGAGAGAGAGAGGCTTCCCGGGCAGCATCCTTCTCCGCCTCTCGCGCGCCCTGCCCGTCTCGGGGAGATGCAGGAAGGACGCCCGTCCCCCGCGCGCAAAGATGCCTCCCCAGGAACCGCAGCGCGGGGGGATCGCCGAGAGGGAGGCGGACCGGAGGCGCCCTTTGGGGTTCGCTGGAAGAGGCTGAGCCAGGTAAGCGTAGGATGATGCTGGCGGATGGACGGGGGGGGGGGGGGCAAGGCGGGCAGAGGCTTCCTCATGGAAAGAAAAAGGAGTTGCATGCAATATAGCAGGGAGGCGATCGGTGCCTTGCAAATGTCTCTTTCCCTGGCATCTCTCTCTCTCTCTACCACCGCCAAAAAAAATGGAAATAAAAATCTGATGGCAATCCACGTGAAATGGGATGGGGAACTCCAGGGCACATTCCTCCTCTCCTTCTCCTCTCCTCTCCCTCCACCCCCGCAAGTCGCCAGAAAAGGAACCAGCCCCCCCCCCCCCACCGTCCCCTACCCGGTAGGACAGAGAGGGATGATGGAAAGAAGGAGGGAGGGGAGGAAGAGAGAGAGAGAGAGTCCCTCTTCTCCCCGAGACGAGTTTGACAGCCCCCCTTCTCCCCCCGCCGGGGTGGGGGTGCTCACACTCTCCGGAGCCCGGCGATCCGGGAGCGGCGAGGCTGCGGCAAGGCATTGCGGTGGAGCCCTCAGCGCCCCCCCCCGACACACACGCACCCACCCCCGAGGAGGGGAGAGGATAGAGGTAGGGGAGAAGCAAGGCAGCGAGTTGTCCCGCCGGAGGGGGCGGTCCTAGAGAGGAGGAGGAGGAGAGGCAGGGGGCTTCCTTAGCCCCCCCTCCTCAGCCAAGGGACGGGTCCCCAAGATGCTCCCCCCAGTATTCCTTGATCCTCAATGCCAGAGCCCCTTTCCTCCACTGTGCCCTCCCCCCCTCCAGGCTTCTTCCTCCTGCTGCCCCACAGAGAATCAACGCTGTCTCCCCTCCTCAGAACCACTCTCCCCCTTCCCCACTCAGCCCCTTCTTCCTCTTCCCATGCTCATCCCCAACTCTTTCCTGCTCAGTCCTTCCTTCCGACCCCCCCTCCACACACACACCAATGCTGCCCTTTCCATCCCCTATTCACCCTCCCAGTTGGGTTGTCCCCCTTCTTCTACCTTTCTGGATCCCCTGGAGCCAAGACTTCCTCTCTCATGGGGGGGGAGGGGGTTGACCTCAATTCCTACCCTATTTCCTACTTGTTCCCTAGTGAACTCCAAAACCTTCCACCCCTTCTCTTCTCAACTTGGTTTTCCTCTTTAGCCCTTCCTTCCATCCGACAGCCTTCCTCCCCTACCCCCCCTTGCTCATTTTCTTCATCCCTGCCACCAACCACCTTCTAGCCCTCCCTTGCCCTTCATGCCTTCCCCTACATTCCCGTTTCCTTCCACAATCTCCCTATTTTTGCTTTCCTCCGACTGCCCCCCCCGCCTCCCCTGTTTTCATTCCCTTCTTCCAAATTCCATTGTTCTCCTAGACATGGGGGACTCCCCGAGCAGCCTTGCAACTCTTTCTCTCTGCACACAATGCCGACACACATAGACACCGCAGTGGAGCAGGAGAGGACGCTTCACTCCCAAAGGACCTCCTTGGAGGGCATAAGGGGTTGAATCCATGCCTCCTCTGTTGGGCCAGGCAGGCTTCCAGCTTGCAGGAAGAGGGGAAACCCCAGGGCTGACTGTGAAACAGGAGCTAGTGCTTGGGCCCGATGGAAGAGGGTGTCATAGGTAAAGTCTGTCTCCTGTGCTAATGCATCTCATATGCTAAAGTTGCAAGTCTACGTCCCTCTAGCAAATCATGACTTTGTCTTATGCTACCAGTTAAGGTGTTCTTCTGGGGTGTCGGGTGTCCCCCCCCAGCTTCTGCCTTTTATCTTGTTAATGGAGATCTGCAACCTTTGTAGTTTTTGTTTCTTGTTCGATTCTGCTGAAAATTTTTATTTGGGGTATATATATATACAGTTTAAGGGCATGCGTAGATTAATGATTGGCCAAAAAAACCTCCGAATCAACGGAATACAACAGACATTTGCAATGAGCATTGTGTAAGAGTGGGCGACCAACCGGCAGTCTTTGCTTCTGGAATACACTGCTTGCTTTCGTGTGCCGGCATCTTTGCTGTTTGCTCTGGACTTCTCCCCCTGTGCACCGCACCCCCAATACCCAACTACCGACCTGTGGTTTGTGTGTGTGTGTGTGTGCATACCTTTACTTTATTTTTGGCAATTGATAAGTGCACAACGACCTCATCTGTGATCCAAATCTTTCAGACCATGCCAGAAAAACCCGCTCTTTGGAATGCTAAGTGTACACTGCAATGGAAACACTCTTCGGTGGTTTTAATTGGGTTTCGGTATGCACATCTTACCCAAGGCAAATAAATGCTCTGTATCTGTCTGTTGTGTGTGTATGAGAGAGAGAGAGAGAAGAGGAGGAGGAGGAGGAGAGAGGACGCAGCTATAGGTGGATAGAAAGAAAGGAGGTTATAATTTCAAATGCAAGGTGCATCCATGCCCTCTCTGGATTACTGCAAACATTTTATTTCTTCTGCTGTGGTTGATCATGGGCAGTAACGATAGCTCATTGCATAGCTTTTATAGATAAACAATTCTTCTTATAACATTTTTTAAAACTTATTATTATGGAGTGGTAGCTACTGAAAGATAATTTTTCCCCTCTTGGCATTCTTCTCTTCTTTTATAGATTATCTACCTTTGTTCAGGAGCACTGTGGTTGACTGCAAAGCCTAAGAAGATGCTTCTGTGGTTCCTCCTGGTGTTGTCCAGCCCAGTGTCTTCTACAGATTCAGAGATGGAGCCATCCGTAGAGATCTGCGAGGTCTGCTCCTGCGTGTCGGTGGAGAACGTCTTGTACGTCAACTGTGAAAAGGTTGCTGTCTACAGACCAAACCAGCTGAAACCTCCGTGGTCTAATTTCTACCACCTCAATTTCCAGAACAACCTCCTCATCATCCTGTACCCAAATACGTTTCTGAACTTCACTCATGCAGTTTCCCTCCAGCTGGGAAACAATAAACTGCAGAACATTGAAGGAGGAGCCTTCTTGGGTCTCAGTGCATTGAAACAGTTGCACTTGAATAACAATGAATTAAAGGTCCTCCGGGCCGACACCTTTCTTGGCATTGAGAACTTGGAGTATCTCCAGGCTGACTACAATTTAATCAAATACATTGAACGGGGAGCCTTCAATAAACTTCACAAGCTGAAAGTCCTCATTCTTAATGACAATCTGATTTCTTTTCTTCCTGATAATATTTTCCGTTTTGCTTCTCTCACCCACCTGGATATACGAGGGAATAGGATACAGAAGTTGCCCTACATTGGGGTGCTGGAACACATTGGCCGCATCGTTGAGCTGCAGCTGGAAGACAATCCGTGGAACTGTACGTGTGACCTGCTCCCATTGAAGGCATGGCTGGAGAACATGCCCTATAACATCTACATCGGAGAAGCCATCTGCGAGACACCCAGTGATTTGTACGGGAGGCTTTTGAAAGAAACCAACAAACAAGAGCTGTGTTCCATGGGCACAGGCAGTGATTTTGATGTCCGAATCCTGCCTCCCTCACAGATGGAGCCTGGTTACAGTACTCCCAACGGACACACAACGCAAACGTCCCTACACCGATTGGTCACCAAGCCTCCCAAAACAACAAACCCTTCCAAGATTTCAGGAATCGTGGCGGGCAAGTCCTTCTCCAGCCGCAACCTCAGTCAGATCGTGTCTTTCCAGACCCGAGTGCCCCCGCTGACTCCCTGTCCGCACCCCTGCGTTTGCAAAACCCATCCTTCTGATTTGGGATTAAGCGTCAATTGCCAGGAGCGGAACATCCAGTCGTTGGCCGAACTGGTCCCGAAGCCACTGAATGCCAAGAAACTGCATGTGAATGGCAATTATATCAAAGATGTGGACACGTCCGACTTTGCCGAGTTTGAAGGACTGGATTTGCTCCATCTGGGGAGTAATCGGATCGTGTCAATCAAAGGGGAGGTTTTCCGCAACCTGACGAATTTGCGGAGGTTGTACCTCAACGGAAACCAGATTGAACGCCTGAGTCCCGAAATGTTCGCTGGCCTTCACAACCTTCAGTACCTGTACTTGGAATACAATGTCATCCGAGAGGTTTTAGCCGGCACTTTTGACTTGATGCCCAACTTGCAGCTGCTTTACTTGAACAACAACCTGCTGCGCAGTCTGCCAGCCTACATTTTTGCTGGCGCTCCCCTGGCTCGGCTGAACCTGAAAAACAATCATTTCATGTACCTGCCTGTGAGCGGTGTGCTTGATCATCTAAAGTCCCTGACGCAGATCGATCTGGAAGGGAATCCATGGGACTGCACTTGTGACTTGGTCGCTTTGAAGCTCTGGCTGGAGAAACTCAGTGACGGCATTGTCGTGAAAGAACTGAAGTGCGAGACCCCTGTGCAGTTTGCAAACATAGAACTGAAGTCCCTCAAAAATGAGATCTTGTGCCCCAAACTTTTGAAGTCTTCTTTTTTCACGAGCCCGGCGCCGGCAGTCACATTTACAACATCCCTGGGCCCAGTCCGGAGTCCTCCAGGTGGCCCTGTCCCCTTGTCTATTCTCATCTTAAGTATCTTGGTTGTCCTGATTTTGACCGTCTTTGTGGCTTTCTGTCTTCTGGTCTTCGTCCTCCGTCGCAATAAGAAACCCTCGGTGAAACACGAAGGGCTCGGAAACCCGGAATGCAGCTCCATGCAGCTGCAGCTTCGCAAGCACGACCACATGTCGAATAAAAAGGACACCCTGGGAGCGGAGGCCTTCATCCCTCAAACCATCGAGCACATGAGCAAAAGCCACTCGTGCGGCTTAACGGAAACCGAAACGGGCTTCTCGTTTCCTGAGCCACCGGGGCAGAAAGTCGTGCTGCGAAACAACAGCGACAAGGAGAAAGATTTGTTGCACCTGGATCCGAGGAAAAGACTGAGCACCATCGACGAACTGGACGAACTGTTCCCGGGACGGGATTCTAATGTATTTATTCAGAATTTTCTCGAAAGCAAAAAGGAATACAACAGTATAGGGGTCAGTGGCTTCGAGATACGGTACCCAGAGAAACAGCAGGAGAGAAAAAACAAAAAATCTTTAATAGGTGGTAATCACAGTAAGATAGTCGTTGAACAGAGAAAGAGTGAATATTTTGAACTGAAAGCTAAACTTCAGGGGTCCCCAGATTACCTACAAGTTCTGGAAGAACAAACGGCTTTGAATAAAATCTAGGTCATGCAATCTTATTCCCTACAGAGAACATTTATTTAATGATGCAAGTGCCTTTGTTGACTTTTAATTTCCAAATATGATATTCTACAGGTAAGGCATAGAGGCAGGTGAAATCTAAGGGTGTGTGATAAAAAAACTAGCTGCAATCAGATGCTGTCTGACAAAACTCTCACTCTGTGGAAATCCGGGAAGGGTTACTGCAAAACTCGATTGCCAAAGTGTTGCTCCGTATATGTGTTCCACTGAATTTAACCTCAAGAGGCATCTGAGTTTTGTACTCTCATTGCAAAGAAGCTTCCGTCGCCTTGTGATTTGCGAAAGCAAACACACAAGAGGAGGGGAAAATGTGCGTGTGTAAGAGAGGGAGAGAGGTGGTGTGAAAAGGAAGCTGAATCATTCCTTTTGCTTGTGGATTAAAGGGGTCAGAGGAACTGGGATTCAGCCCCTGTAGTAAGCGATGTTGTAAGCAGCACCGTTACCTGAAAAAAAGTTTTTACAAAATAAAAACAAAACACACAAAAAAAAGCATGCGAAAGAAAGAACACTTGATAGTCCGTGTAAAACTGGTTACCTTTATGGCCTGCATCTTGAAACTGCTGGATTTATAATGTTAAATTGTCCAGAAATCTCTGTTTAAACTATGCCATGCATTGCATCTCGATGAACCGATCGGACCGCCTGACGCATTGGACGACTCGGCATAAAGCCGGACTGGCCGGCGACATTGACCCACCGCCACGATGGGCCGAACGGAAAGCGCAGCAGTGGCAGGATTCAGAAGAAACGAACTCAACGTAAGAGCAATGTATGTCTTCTCAATCCTGGTTAGCCCATTTCTCAGTGACGTGAAACTTATTCCAACCCCACCCTGCCCCACCCGGAGGTTGTCCAAAATTTTCAAAAAAAAAAATTTTGCTTGCTGTGTGAGCGTTTCAGAAATTATTTTTGTAATATAATTCATATTTATGAAGTACTTTGTATACTAAATGGGGGAAAATTATGTACTCCTCAATATGTATTTAAATATGCCTGATTAGTTTCCTGGCTTCAAAAGGTGCATTAATCATTCAGTATAATTTAAAAAAAAAAACAGAACCATATACCAAACAGAAACTGTTGCTGAAATGTATAGATTTATTTGAGAGTCAATGTGATCAGGTCTAAGGATAATAATGATGATGATGCTAATAATAAAATTATGTTCTGTACTACTCTTGTGAAGGTTGCGGATGATCTTAATTTTGTTTGTTCATTGAGTTTCAGTTGATTTTTTTAAATAATGATAAATGATGTGCCTTTTTTGCTTGTTATTGGGGGATGCAAAATGTTCACACCTTATTTAAAAGGGCCAAAGCTGGCTGGTTAGCTTGGTGAATTAGGTATCTGGCTGCAGAGCAAGAGATACTGACGGAAAAAGAACCACAGTTTTATATAGTAGAAATTTTGCTAGCTATAGATTTAATCCATCAACTGGCTTTTATTCACTACAATATGGAGCCAGATATTTGTATTTTGGACAGTAAGTACCATGTGAAGCTCTCAAATTTGAGTCTCTGTACTGGACTAAGGAAAGCACACAGAACAGAATTCTATAGATGTTTGACCCACAATCAACACTTTTCATAATATGAACTCTAAAATGAAAGCAGAAACTTGGAAATGAAACAGAGGTCAGCTGGACTTCTCTACTGTGGGAACTGCAGATTATACTGCTCTCAGACTACAATAAGCTTTGCAACTGATAGTCACTTGGGGTCATCATGCATGAGGCCTCACTGCACATGGCAGAAGAGCCATCCTGTGTGGCCTGCACAATGCCAGGGTTCCCCCCAGAAGAAGGGAATGGTGGACCATTTATGAATATTCCCTAGCTGGAAAAAACTGAAAATGGTCACCATAAGTTAGAATGGGCTTGAAGGCACACAGTTATTAATAGAAGGCCTAAATCGGTCATGAGCCTGGTGGTAGAGTCAGGACTTCTGCTTCCTACCCACCTACCTGAAGCCTTTGAAGTGGACCAGAAAACAGCCCTGGAAAGGAGGATTTCTGGTTTACCTTGTCAGTTGCAACAGGACCTTGTAAATCATGCAGAGGTGGGCAACCAGCATGAATTGAGGTGTCCCCAGTATTTGAAAACCATCTCAGTCTTTCTTCAGGACAATGTTCAAGAATACCTCCAATCTTATACATTCAGCTATCCCTATTTGCTATGGACTGAGATATGTGAATGGCCTTAACATCTGCAGAATCAAGATGGTGAATGGCCTTAACATCTTTTGCCCCAGTCATCAGTAATCTGTGTCATGGACATTCTAATAGATTCTGGTTCCTGCTTTGGTGATTTCTTAGAATCATAATCTTAGAACTGCAAAGCTGGAAGAGACCCTGTAGAAAACAAACACTATCAAGGGAGGCCCGGTGGGGAATCAAACTCCCAACCTCTGGCTCCATAGTCAGATGCCTAAACCACTGAGCTATCCAGCAGTTCTGAACCCTTTCCTCTTTTTTTTCCATGTTGAAGATATGAGATTAACATGTTTCCATCTATTGGTGGGTTTTTTCTTCCTTCAGAATTTAAAACTCACCTGTAATGCATGCATGTGTATGGGCTTGTAGACAGGTGTTTTGGTATGATGCTGTACAGAGCCTGCCATTCATCACCTTATGCTGGCCAGAGTAAATTCTGAACTGTTGAGACATTTTTAAAAGTATATAGTTTAACCCAGAGAACAAACACTTCTAAAATAAATGGGGAATGCGGAGTGTGTTGCAGTCAAGGCAGAGCTTTAAACACCGTGTAATATAAGCTCCAGTGTTTGTGGGAGTGTTGATCCCTGCAAAGTTTTAGTCTGAATTTAAAGGACCTGTCCAAGGTGCTGAACGATGCCTCCGATGACTTCAGTACTTTAGATAGCTCCATTTCAGTTCTGTTTTCTCTGTGCATTTGAAGTAAAACTCAGAGTAGATTGTTTAAACACCTCATAGATTTAGGAGCCACAGGTTCCCGCTGCCAGTCTGCAATGACTGTGTCTGTGTGTGTGTGTGTGTGTGTGGTGACTGTGTCTCTGTGTGTGTGTGTGCACAGAGTGAATGAGAGAGAGGGAGAGAAGTCTTGTAAAGTAATATTGTTAGTCATTGAATCTTTGGAGCCCATCACACCTGTGTGTTGTTTCCCATTTGGTGGGTCATCAATTGTATAGGTCTGATTTCTTGGGCATTTCATCAAATCAGAAATATGAAGCAATTCACAATGATTACCTTGTACTACTCAATTACCTCTTCCATTTCACCTGTGATCCCTAGACATAGATCAGGTCTGGCTGAGGCACAGAGGAGTTCCGTGTGCCATGAGCAGCAAATGTACATTTGAAGTGCTCCACTCAGACATCCATGGGGATGTTGACTAATAAAAGATCTGAGCTCATGGGGGTTGCGGTCTCCGAACCTACTTAGTCAGATCTGCAGTCCCTGTTGGAGGCTCAGGATAACCACACACAAATAATAGACATGGAAATTGCTGCTGTTCTGAAGGGACAACAGGATTCCATGATTTAATGTTCCTCTATGACAGTAGTTTCCAGCCTTGGGTCCCCAGATGGTTGGACTACAACTCCCAGAAACCCTGGCCAGCACAGCTAGTGGTGAAGGTTTCTGGGAGTTTCAGTCCAAGAACATCTGGGGATTCAAGGTTGGGAACCACTGCTCTGTACATTAGATTCTGGTGTAAAATGTGATGTTGGGAGGGAGAAATTACTTTTTCCCCTTAGTTTTAGTATGAGTAGGGATTCCTTCCCTCACCTGTCAATGAGAAAACATTCAGTCTTCAAATTGCCATCTGCAGTCTATAGCAGCGAAAATCTTGGGTGAAAATTTAAGCTAGGTCCTAAATGTTGGTCTTGGCATACTTTGGTAACACCTACCATCCCAAATGTCATCTGTGTGGTTGTCATGAGCTAGTGAAAACATTGCAATGTCTTTCTTATCATGGAATTCTTGAACTGCATATTGCAGAAAAGCAGAGATAGTAAAAGTTATTCTTTTTTTTCTTTTTGTACTACAGGTCTTAAAATCTCACAACCATTGGTAGGATTCTGACATTTGTAGCTCCAAAAAAGTAATTTTTTTCTACCTCAAGGGAAGTGAACCAAACTTGATTACTTGGGGAAGATGTGTAGGGTTTCCTTGAGAGATCCTCTAAACCAGCAAAACTACTTCTTTTGAAATTTTGTTGGCCATCCCATTTGAAGAATGTTTAGATACACTCACAGATCAAAAGCCATGTGGAATCCTGACCAAATGGCTCTCAAGCTTAGTGAAAGCTATGCCCCAAACAGAATATCCAAATCAAAATTCACAGATATGGAAATGAACATAAATTCTAGGTGTCCCTTCTGTGCACCTAAAACTTACAGGCTCTGTGAAATGGGTATTGATCATAAATATATCTTTTTTCCCCCTTCTCATGTTTTGTCAGCAAGCAAAGTGAATTGTTATGATTCTAGAAGAAGATTTGTCTTGTTCTGGAGACTATGTCTTTGGAAACAACTGCTCTGTTAAGCATCTCTAGAATTTTGTTTGCCCTCTGTTCATGGCATATTGTGGTCCATGATCTGCATGTAAATACACTGGCTGGAATCCTGTTGCTTAGTGTACTAAACGTAGTAGGGTAGGTTCACTAAAATCAGTGGGTATTTGTTGAGTTGACTTTTCCACCAAGTCGTACTGATTCAAATGGGCCTAATCAAGTTTTGAAAATAAAAGAAGTCTCAACTAGAGTTGTTCCATTTCAATCAATGGAACATGTGGAGGAGCTGACCTACCAAATTCCCACTGATTCAGTAGGACTACTTACTGCAGTTTTTAAAATTAAGTAACAGGATTTCAGCCACTCAGTGTTTATATCTGGAAGGTCATGTTGAGGTCAAAGGGATGGATGGGTGATTGTAAGAATCTGTTTTGAAGACAGGAAATGAAATGGTAAACCTCTGGGACAAACCTGTTCAGAGTATAGGTATAGGCTCAAACAATTAAGTATGGTTTTGTAAATTAAATGAACATGTCCATAAACACTGCCAAAGAAAGAAGGAAGAGAGTATGTTACATCCCTTTTCTAGATGGGATTAAAAAATATTTTTAGGACTGATATTCGATCATGCAAGCTTCTACTTGCAGTCTATAGACATAGTTGCACAACTGTGGTGCTTGACTGCACTACCAACTGTCCATAAAAAATTATATTTAGGTAATGGAACTATTGAAAGTAAATGTGAAAGGCAAAGAACAAGGCCTACAAGTGAATACTGAATATTTGTCTACACCATATGAACTCCCCTTTCTGCTCAGTCTCAACAAGACTTTTCGTGATCAAATATCTAGTGCACTTTTGATAGAGTAATGAAACCCAGGAAGCAAGGTATATCACATGAGCAATGTGCATGTAAACAAGTACCAAGTTCAAGAGATCTACAAACCTTCTGGCTGGAGTTATAGTATTTATTTTCTTCATGGATTGTCCAAGAGGAAGAGGCCAACCTGGCTGGTGCACCTGCACAGAATGTAGCTTGTTGCATCATGGTGGAATACTTTCAAGCCTTCTCACTTGGGTGGCTTGCACCCAAGAAATGTGAAGTATTTCTTGATGTCCTGCAGGTCTTATGAATCACTTTTTCCATGGGACTATATCCATGATAATATTCTGTGTCATGGGGGGAGGGGGGTCTCATACCATGGTACTGGAAGGTGCAATAATTTCTAGGATGTCTTCTGGGACCCCTTCCCTAGAATCTCTTGCCCATGTTCATTTTTCTTGTTCACTTGCCCACTTACACCACAGGAACAATGATAAGAGTGATGGGATAAAGCAGCATCACTCCTCGTTTGCCTTGTACTGTTCCTTGACTGGATTGTAAATCAGGCCCAGACGGAGATGGTCTTGTGTCCGTATAACCCTGTTGCTGAAAGAGCTACACTGATTACCAGTTGCTTACCTGGCTCAATTCAATGTGCTGTTTTTAACTTCTAAAGACCTAAATGGTTTGAGTCCTGGCTACCTAAGGAGCTACCTCTCTCATTATGAGCCTGCCCAGATGT